ACAGATTTAACGGGATTCCTATCAAATTATCCAGGACATTTTTCACAGAACTAGAACAAATAATCCTAAAACTTACACAAAATCGCAAAAGACCCAGAATTACCAAAGCAATAGTGAAGAAAAGGAACAAAGTTGGAGGCATAACTCCCAGACTTCAGATAATAGTATAAAGCTACAGTAATTAAAATAGTGTGGTATTGATGCAAAAAAATAGACGTATGAGTCAATTGAACAGAATAGAAAGCCCAGAAATAAATCTGCTGTTATGCTGCTGTAATTGTGAAATGTAAGCTTTCATTTATTCAGTGTATACCATGTGCTGGCAATTCTGTTTTATGCTTTTCATATATTGCCACCAATATTTCCAAGAACTCTTCAATGAGGGCATCAATATACCCATTGTACAGATTAAGAAACTGAGACTCATGGGGGTCAAGTACCTTGCCCCAAACCAGATAGCTAGTAAGGACATATGAATCCAGGTCTATATGCCTCCAAATTTCTTTCAGATGCATCATTCTATATTAAATGTGTAAATGTTATACATGTTATTATAATATATAGTCCTGATATATTATTTTGCAAACTGTAAACTTCTTTGATGTTCACTCTCTTATTTAATCGTGACTACGGCCCTGCTATCAGCTCTACTTGACAAGCAAGGGAATGAAGTCCGAAAAATTAGGTAAAATCATCATGGTCTCATGGCCTAGGCAGGAACCTACGTATTCTGATCCCAAATGCAGGGGTGTTTCTATTCCTCTCATATGCCATGTGCCAAGCTCTGTTCCCTGTTGTCCTGAAGTCCCCTGGGGTCTAGACTGTGTTTTATGCTTCCTTTGTATTCCCCATAGATCCTGGATATGCAGCCTGTTGCTTTTTTAATTGATTTGCCAAGAAGTAGCAAGAATGTCCTTATGAGGCATCCTGTCCCAAAGGACCTAAAGAACAGGATGCTTGCAGTGCTTTGGGGGCTGGCGGGAGCTGCTGAAGAGACATGACTGTAGTTCTCTTTAATGCCATGACTCAGTCATGTTCTGAAAAAAAAAAAAAGCCTTCCAGTCACTATTTATGAAGGTATGATTCTCAACTATCACATCAACTAACAGAAGCAAACAGCAATGTGAATGAACTGACCTGCTTATGATTATGAAATGGACCAGTGGAAGAGAGAAGACTTCCTTCTGTATTCCCCAAAAGTCTCTGATTTGAATACTGGCCACCTACCTATGACAAAGCAGTGTCTCTTTGTTTCTTTAGTCATATCCTGCCTCATTTCCCAAGGGACTCCAAGTAGTTTGCAATATGATTAGGTACAACAAACGATGATAAAATATAAACAAGTAAAAACAACCAAGGTTGGGAAAAATGTACATATAAAAAGTCAAGTCCAAGGAAAAGTATTTTATTAGTCAGAGAGGAAACACTGCCTAAAGCCCAAAAGATTACAGTGCATTTAAATTGATCTTCCATGTGTGGGTTTCAGTTGATGAGGTATTTTTAAGGGCTCAGTAACTCCTATGGGATTTGACTCTGTGCCGGATATTGACCCAGAAGAATGATTAAAGCAGTGAAACTATAGAATTTATCCTCAGGATGTGGTCAACATACTGCATGTGTGGTTAAATGGGAGTTGTGTCCTCCAAGTCTAATGTTGCCAAAAAGACCACGTCAGTGCCTTGCCCAGAACAGAACTTTTATTTGAACAAGCCTGAATCATGTCCATTCATTCATTTGGCAGCTATTGTGACAATAAATTGTCTGCCAGGAGCTGGGCAGTGCACTGGAAATTCGAAGGCAAATAAGACATGGGCCCTTTCCCAGAGGGCTTCTTTGTCAAGAGGAGCAAACAAGCTTATAAATATATAATCAGCACAGCTGTAGTAAGTGGATTCTACAGGTATGTATAAAAGGTGTAAAAGCAGAGATGGGGACAACCACTTCACTGAGATTAGTAGCTGTTGCTTATCTTCTAACCAAAACATTTCCCGTTACAAGGACACTGCAGTTCTGGGTTGAGGAGGCCATACTTAATAAAGTAGACCTGGGGAAATCATAGAATAAATAACTTACCTTTGTGACTTGCTAAACATCTCCACATCTCCGATTTGATTGTGTGGAGAAAGAGACAAAAGGCAGTAGTGCTGGCTTAAGAATGGTGGCCAGCACGAAGTGAATGAAGGAATGTAAAGAAATGCTGTAGGAAATATTTTGTAATTGCCAGGTTAGTGAGGCTAATTTCTTGGCATGGAATAGGTGTTTTGTTCTTAGAAATCCTCCCTGTGATAAAGATACACTCTATGTGTCAAAATCAACTTTCTAACAGACTATGCATCCATTCAGACCACCTATGATCACGTTTAAAGCAAAAATCTAACATCCTGAGACATGAAGTATGGCAGATTTGTCTGTAGTGATCAGCACCAGAAACTGGACACTAGTAACAAAAGTGACCAAATACTTTAACCCTTTGGATCTCTGGTACATACTCAAAAATTTGACAGCCTCTTCTGACTGACCTGGCTGAAGAAAACTTTAATGGCTGTAGAAAAGTTAGTATGAATGCTGAAGAATTAACAAAGCAATATTGGGAAAAGCAACCTGCATACAGAATTCACTGTGATTGATTCTAGTATGTGTGTCTGAAGAACCCCCAAAGCAGAGCTCCAGGGAAAATTGACACATGCCTAATGTTAGCTCAAGGCAGGTGCCAACTTCCTCCTGCAGAAACAAAAGCAGATAAGATAACTTTTAAGGAAAATAACAGAAAATAACCTTCTCTTTGCTTCCTTGTATTGACTCATAGATTGGAAGTTGAGAAAAAGATTTTAAAGCTAAGAATTATTGAATACTGGATATATCAGGCAATCAGATAAAATGGAGAGTCTTAATGAGAAATGTGCATGCTTGTGACCAAAAGCTAAGCCTTCGCCCTCCCTTCCTGTTCCCAGGAAACCAGACTGTCTGTAGTACACATGCTCTTTCACTTGTTTCCCACAACTCAGTCTGTCCCATACCCTCTCCAGCAGTTATTTTTTGTAGACATTTTGATGATAGCCATTTAATTAGCAATTTTGAGCATCTTTTCTTGTACCTGTTAGCCATCTGTATGTCTTATTTGGAAAAATGTCTATTTAGGTCTTCTGTCCATTTTGTGATTTTTTTTTTTTGATATTGAGTTGTATGAGCTGTTTGTATCTTTTGGCTATTAACCGCTTAGGGCTCATTGTTTGCAAATACTTTATCCCATTCTTTTTGTTTTGCTGATGGTTTCCTTTGCTATGCAAAAGCTCTTAAGTCTGATTAGGTGCCATTTGTTTATTTTTGCTTTTATTTCTTTGGCCTTGGGAGATTGATCTAAGAAAATATTGCTACGATTTATAGCAAAGAATGGTATGCATGTGTTCTCTTCTAGGAGTTTTATGATATCATGTCTTAAATTTAGGTCTTTAAGGCATTTTGAGTTTATTTTTGTACATAGTGTGAGGGAGTGTTCTAATTTCATTGATTTATATGAAGCTGTCCAGCTTTCCCAGCATGACTTGAAGGGACTGTCTTTTCTCCCTTGTATATTCTTGCCTCCTTTGTTATAGAATAATTGAATTTAGGTGTATGGGTTTATTTCTGGGCTCTCTATTCTGTGCATTGATCTATATGTCTGTTTTTGTGCCAGTACCATGCTGTTCTGAGTAATGTAGCTTTGTAGTATAGTCTGAAGTTTCAAAGGATTACACCTCCATCTTTGTTCTTTCTTCCTCATAATTGCTTTGTCAATTCGAGCTCTTTTGTGGTTCCACATAAATTTTAAGATTATTCTAGTTCTGTGAAAAATGTCATGGGTATTTTGATAGAGACTGCATTAAATCTGTAGATTGCTTTGGGTAGTATGGGCATTCTAATAATATTAATTCTTCTAATCCAAGACCATGGGATATTTTTCCATTTCATTGAATAATATTCAGTTTCCTTTATCAAAGTTTTATAGTTTTCAGCATACAGGTACTTCACTTCCTTGGTTAAGTTTATCACTGAGTATTTTATTTTTTTGAAAGGATTTTAAATGAGATTATTTTTTACTTTCTGGTATTTTGTTATTAGTGTAAAGAAATGCAACAAATTTCTGTGTATTAACCTTGTATCCTGCTACCTTGCTGAAGCCATTTATTAGTTCTAATAGTTTTTGTGTGAAGACTTTAGGGTTCTCTATACAAAATATCATACCATCTGCAAATAGTGACAGTTTTATTATGTCATCTCTTCCAATTTGGATCCCTTTTGTTTCTTTTTCTGTCTGATGCTGTGGCTAGGACTTACAATACTATACTGAATAGAAGCGGTGAGAGTGGGCATTCTTGTCTCATTCTCATTTACTGGGAATATTTTCAGCTTTTCACCATTGAGTATGATGTGGGTTTGTCATGAATGACCTTTATTATGTTGAGATATGGTCCCTCTATACCATATCTACTTTAATGGGAGTTTTTATCTTGAATAGATACTGAATTTTGTCAAATGCTTTTTCTGTGTCTATTGAAATTATCATGTAGTTTTTGTCTTTTCTTTTCATAATGTGGTGTATTACATTGATCAATTTGTGTATGTTGAACCATCCTTATGACCCTGGAATGAATTCAGCTTGATCATGATGTATGATCCTTTTTATGTATTATTGGATTTGGCTTGCTAATACTTTGTTGAAGATTTTTACAGCTATATTCATCAAAGATACTGGCCTGTAATTCTCTTTTTTGGTAGTGTCTTTGTCTGGTTTTGGTATCAGAGTGATGGTAGCCTCAAAGAATAAATTTAGGGATGTTCCTTCATTTTGGGGGAATAGTTTGAGAAGGATAGGTATAAGTTCTTCATTATATGTTTGGTAGAATTCCCCAGTGAAGCTGTCTGGTCCTTTTGTTTGCAGGGAGGATTATATTACAGATTCTATCCTACCTCTATTGTTTGGTCTATTCAAGATACCTGTTTCTTCTTGAATCACTCTTGGCAGGCTGTGTGTTTCTGGAAACTTGTCCATTTCTTTTAGGTTGTCCAATTTCTTAGCACATAACTGTTCACAGTGTTATCTTATGTTTTTTTTTTTGTATTTCTGTTGTGTTGGTTGATACTTCTTTTCTTTCATTTCTTATTTATTTGAGTCCTCATCTTTTCTTCTTGGTAATCCTGGGTAGAGATTTGTTGATTTTGTTTATCTTTTCAAAAAACCAACTTTTGGTTTTAGTGATGTTTTCTATCATTATTTTAACTTCTGTTTATTTATTTCCCCTCTGATCTGTATTATTTCGTTCCTTCTGCTGACTATGGGCTTTGTTTGGTCTTCTTTTTCTAATTCTTATAGGTGGTAGGTTACATTGTTTATTTGAGATTTTACTTATTTCTTGAGGAAGGCTTTTATTTCTATGAATTTCTCTTAGAACTGCTTTTGCTACACAAATTTTACAGATTTTGTAAAGTTGTGTTTTCATTTTTGTCTCAAGATATTTTCTGATTTCTTCTTTAATTTCATCATTACCCACTGGGCTTTTTGTAGTAGGTTTGTAATGTTTGTATGTTCATTCTCTTCCTATTTTTCTTTCTGTAGTTGATTTCTAGTTACATACTGTTGTGGTCAGAAAAGATGCTTGAAATAATTTTTATTCTCATAAATTTGTGGAGGCTTGTTTGTATCCTAGTATGTGGTCTATCCTAGAGAACATTCCACATGCACTTGAAAAGAATGTGTATTCTGTTTTTTATGAATGTAGTGTCCTGTGGCTATCAATTAAGTCCAACTGGTTTATTGTGTCATTTAGGACCTCTGTTGCCTTACTGATTTTCTAATTGGATGATCTGTCCTTTGATGTCAGTGGGATGTAAAAATCTCCCACTGTTATTGTATTATTGTCGATTTCTCCCTTCATGTCTCTTAGCACTTGCTTTGTATATTTAGGTGCTCCTGTATTGGGTCCATATATGTGAATGAATGTAATATTCTCTCTTGTATCAATTCCCTTTATCATTAAATAATGCTCTTCTTTGTCTTTTTTCATAGCCTTTGTTTTAAAGTCTATTTTATTGAATATGAGTATTGCTACCCATTCTTTCTTGTCATTTCCATTTACATGAAATATTTTTTTTCCACCCTCTCACTTTCAGTCAGTGTGTATCTTTTGCTCTGATGCGAGTCTCTTACAGGTCACATATTGAAGATTCTTGTTTTTTTTCCAGTTAGTCACACTGTGTCTTTTGATCAGAGCATTTAATCCATTTGACAGTAAAATAATTATTAATATGTATGTACTTATTGCCATTTTATCCCTTGTTTTTCTTGGTTTTTGGTGGTGGTGGTGGTGGTTCTTCATTCATTTCTTCTTCTTTTGATTTTAATGTTTTGGTTTGATGATTTTATTTTGTCATATGCTTGAGTTCCTTTCTTTTTGGTTTTTACAAATCTTTTGTAGGCTTTAGATTTGTGGTTACCCTGGGGTTCATGTATGTTGACCTATAACTGTATCTACTTGCTTTAAACTGATAATTTTGTTTAAGTTCAAACACATTCTAAAAGATCTATATTTTTTAGTCTCTTCCCCCACATTTTGTGATTTTGATGTTCCATTTTACATCTTTATGCTTATCCTTGTACTGTTTCTTGTAGTTATAATCACTTTTACAATGTTTTTATTTGTTTTTTAACCTATGTACTGGATTATTTAAGTGATCTTCAATCCTTTATATTTGCCTTTCTTATGATTTTCCCTTTCTTGTAGAATCTTGCTTCTTTTGTTTTTAGAGAAGACCCTTCAATATTTCTTTTGGGGGTAGGTTTGGTATTGCTCAATTCTTTTAGTGTTTGCTTGTCTCAGAAATTCTTTATCTTGTCTTCTATTCTGAATGATAATCTTGCTGGACAGAGATTCCTAGGTTACAGATTTCTCCTTTTCAAGGCTTTGAATGTATCATTCCACAGCCTTTTGACCTGCAAAGTTTCTGCAGAGAAATCAGCTAGTTACCTTATGGGGGTTCCCTTGTAACTGGCTCTTGGTTTTTCTCTTGCTTCCTTCTGAATTCTCTCTTATCTTTAACTTTTGCCATTTTAATTATGATGTGTCTTGACATGGTCTGTTCAGGTTCATCTTGTTTGGGACCCCCTATCCTGTACTTGGATATCTGTCATCTTCTTTAGGTTGGGGAAGTTTCAGCCATAATTTCTTCAAATACATGTTTGATCCCCTTCTGTCTCTCTTCTCCTTCTGGAACCCCTATCATGTGTAGGTTGGCATGTTTTATATTATCCCATAGATTTCATATGTTGCTTTCGCTTTTTTTTCATTTGTCTTTCTGTCTGCTGTTCTGATTGGATGATTTCCATTGTTCTATCTTCCAGATCACTTATTTATTCTTCTGAGTCTTTTAGGTGGCTATTCATTGCTTCTAGATTGCTTTTATTTCAGAAATTGAATTATCTATTTCTTAGTGGTTCATCTTTGTAGTTTCTATTTCTTTGTTATAGTGATCTGCCTTTCTACTGATACTGTTTCTTAATTCAGTTAGCATTTTTATTACCACCTTTTTGAACTTGGTGTCTGGTACACTGATGAGCCCTGTTTGATTATTTATTCTTTCAAGGAATTTTTCGTGCTCTTTTAATTAGGAGTAGTTTCTCTACATTTTCATTTTACTTAACTTACTCTGTCTTTATGAATTTAAGAGAAACTGTTATCTTTTGTGGTCTTGAA